TTTTTCAATTTAAAATTTAAAATTTAAAATTTTAATTTTTAATTTTTATACGAATATTATGTTTTCCGTATTATTGGACGAATGAACCATATTGATATTCAAAATATCTGAAGTGAAACTAATTTTACAAAAATTGTATGTTTATATAACTATAAATACTTTGCAATTTTTTATTTTTATTTTATATAAAAAATTTTAATGTGGGTATGATGCTAATTTGACAATAAAAAACGATACTGTAAGCATGAATTTAAAATTGTCACACAAACAATCTTAATTTATCTTTCGATGTCAACTATTCTATTTTAAAAGTTTATAAAATCAGACATATTTTACACGTATGAATATATAATTGACACATTTATAGATTATGTTGACATATGTATAGTACTAACTATATCTTCATGGTCATGATAAAACAAATTGTCACATAGTAATCTTACTATTAATTGTTGATTAATTTTAAGAATATTTGTATCTTTCTACAAAATATTTGAACGTAATTCATTATCTTTTTAATATTATTTTAACAATTTATACAAATCGTGCAACGCACGGGTGCCAATACTAATGTATATATATAAGAGCTCAATGTTATGCAATCCTGCAATCTCAGAATTTTGAGAATTTTTTTTTTTTTTTTTTTTTTTTTTTTTTTTTTTACAGTTTTACAGAATTACAGTTATTACTCCATTATTTTCACTCATTTAGTATTATTAATAATTAACTCTTTTTATTATATAAATTTTTCATAAATTCTTTTATATTTAATTACTTTATTTTTTTATTAGATTATAATTCATAAATAAATAAATAAATTTTTTATAATAAAGATCCGATATCCTATATCTATTTTTTAAAATAATTTTATTTAAATTTCAAAAATTTAAAAAATTAATAAATTTTAGATTAATTTTACGCAATTATTTATGTATATTCGTTTTTTGAATTTTGTTTTTTTAATTTACTTCCTTTACTTTATTAAGTATTATATTTATATTTATATTCAATTATGTTTATTTAATTTACTTCATTTTTTATTAATTATTGTATCTATATTTATATGATTATATATTAATAAAGAAAATAAAATATGTTTATAAATTAATTTAATAAACAAAAAATACTGTTATACGATATAAGTGATAGAGGGGATACGGTTAAAGAAAATAGATATGGATGATGAGATGATACAATTTTCATTGGGATGATATAGTTTTCCATGATTAGAATATATATAGAAGAAAGAAGAAGCTAAAAAGACATGGAGAAGAATATGTGATAAAGAGCTGATGCAAAAGATGATATGTAGAAGACGACAATGAAAGAAATAAGAATATTATATTTTTCTAATAGTTTAACAATACTATATTTATTTATTTATTTTTGTAGGGATGAAGATGCATATTCTAATAATTTATTTTTTTTTTTTTAAATATTGATACTTTATTTTTGATATATTTATAATGTTTTTTTTTTTTCATAGAGGCATACAGAAGGAAGAAAAACGACAAGATGAAAATGCAGAAGATAATATGCAGGTAGATGACAGTGAAAGAAAAAAAATATCAAATGGAGTATCAAATAATAAGAATATTGTGTATACGTAATTTTTATTTTAGTTTTAAATATGTGTTGTTTTTCGTGTGTTAATTTATAATAGTTTTTCTTTCACAATACGGATAATTTTGTACTTATCGTTTTTTATTTTTTGTACAGATGGAGATGCAAAAGAAGATAACGTCAGATGAAAAATATATATATATATATCAAATAACAAGAATATTTATATGTATGTATTTTTTAATAATCTTCTAATATTTTTTAAAAATACTGATACTTTATTCTTTATGATTTTATAATGTTTTTCTTTTCAAAATTTTAAGGCATATAGAAGGACAAGATGAAAACAGAAGATGAGGATATGCAAATGAAAGTGGAAAAAACAAAAATATCAAATATCAAATAATAATAATATTATGTGTATGCAATTTTTTTTTTATTTTAGTTTTAAATGTGTGTTATTTTTTATGTGTTAATTTTCTAATAGTTTTTTCACAATTTTTAGATATACCGAAGAGAAAAAGAGGATACAATGCAGAAGATAATACAATGTAGAAGATGATATAGAGATCAAACTTGAACAATTATGTGGAGTTTTTTTTTTTTTTTTTATTTTAGTTTTAAGTTTATAAAATATTTTTTATTATATTGCTATTGATTTTTTATGTTTACTTTTATTATTTTTTGAGTAGATATCCATAATTATGAGTATTTGTTTCTTTTTTTTTTTTTTACTTTTATTTTTTCTTATTACTGAGTATAAATAATTTTATATGATTTTACTTTAGTCTATCTTATAAATATTTCAATTGTCACCGGTTCTGCAAAAACAGTTTATTTTTAATTCTAAAATATTCAAATCTTATTTTATCATTTTTCACCTTAATTTTTTAATATTACAATTTTCACTTTGTAATTATATAACTAATTTTATTCTTTTTTATATATTTTCTGAAAATTTTAATTATCATTTGTTCAATAGATAAAATTCAGCAGATAAATATTTTGGTTGATTGTTGATTTTATATATATATATATATATTATTATATTATAATTTTTATTAATTGCACCGCGGGTTAAGTGCGCTAGTTTTCTAAAAGATATACTCCCTCCGTCCCAGAAGAGATGTCTTATTGGGAGTGGACACGGGAATTAAGGTATAATAGTATTTAATTGGAAGCGGATATAAAATAGAAGGTAAAAGACTAAAATATCCTTACCTTTTTAATGAGTTTAAAAAGTATATTAGAGTAATAATTAGGGGTAGTTTGGAAAAGTAAGAATAATTTTGTTATAAAGTGGGGACCACAATTACTAAATAAGGAAACAAGACAATTGTTTTGGGATGAACGAAAATGAAAATACAAGACAACTCTATTGGCACGGAGGAAGTACAACATAGTAACAATTAACTAGGAAAAAATTTGCTTTAAAATTATCTTCCAATTCTTCGTAATGACAATTACCAATCAAATTTTGAAAATATTCAAAGAATTGAGTCGTAGTAATGTAAGTTCAAAAATATTGACGATTATAAACAAATATCATTTTTTTTTTTGTATTGAATAATCTTTTCAACTGATCATTATTTTAAAGATTATATTTCTTAAATATGTTATTTCATTCAATTAAAAAAATTATTTTCTTCCTCGAAATTATACACACACTTACTAATCATTCAAATGTTCTCATCATATAAAAATTCACAGCAAAAAGTAACATAATATTTGTGGTAATTCACACCAACAAATAATGCAAGATGACAGTTTTGAAAATTCTCCTCATAAGTTGTATAAAAAGATATCACATCTTCAAATATACCATTATCAACTTTCCTTTTTCCAAAATATATTAGTTATTGTATCATCCTCGTTAACTTGAATTAAGTGAAAAAAAAAAAAAAATTCAGATTTTTTATATGCATCTATTGTAAATATTCAAGTACTCTCACCGTATTTCTAATTGTTATAGCCTTAGTTTTTTTTTTTAACACAAATAATTTCTACAATGTTTGCAAGTAAATCCTAAATTACACGATCATCTGCTTGTTTGATAATATAATAATAAGATGTTCTTGAAGGAATACCTACACTCTATTCTATTTCAATTTCAATAGCATGAATTTTAGTTATTTTATTGTATGATCTAAATAAATAAATTTCATAACCTGCTCTAGATAAATAATGATTATTCTCTAGAATGAATTTCACAACCTCACTTTTTTTTTTTTTATTCAAATGTATTTTTATTTTTGCCAAGCACTCAAATATAGTTTCGGCATGTGAATTTTTCACATAAGCATCTAATTTATTGGGCTTTTGTTTTTTTTTTTTTTTCTAACACCAAACTCAATCGTTTTAGCATATGCAAAATAAAATGCTCCAGCCAAATTTTCATTACTAAATGTTATACCTATTTAAGGAATCTGTTATTTTGAGATGAATTTATGCCATGAATCATGAAAATACAAAATACAACGATTAAAATAGATATTAAAAAGATAAAATGTCTCATTTTTTTCTTCATTTGCATTTGGAAAATTTGTGCAATATTTTCTAACATGTGATACAATACTTAGAAGGCTTGTGTAAAAAAAAATGAACCAAGTAATCTAATTTTCATTATGGAAAAAAAAAACAAAAAAAAAAGAGCCCCCAGCCGCAGGTAGACAACCACGAACACTACCATAAAAATCAATATAAACTCCTACAAAAGAAATCATTTTTTTCCTGGAAGTCCTAGTAATTGATTTGAGATTTTATTTTTTACCTTTGTCGAATATGATTCAAAATATTTTCAGCCCCGTAGGAGTCAATTACAAGGAACAAAAATCAACAAGCATAGAGAATATAAATGAGAATAAAATAATACCCGAAGAAGATGAGGTAGACGTTGACTCCCTCACTCAAAAAATCTTCAATGGCAGCAAACAAGACAAGCAGCAGTCGGCAATGACAAAAATCTTTGATGACGGTGAACAAAAGAAGCAACGGAACGCGACTTATCAGATCAGAAAAAAATAAAAAATAAAAAATAAAAGAAGAAAGATTGGTATTTGCTAAAGAAAGACCAAAATGCAATCACAAATAAATCAAGACCAAGAAGTGCTTGAGTGATTAACAATTATTTTAGTGAAAGTATAATATATAGTAACTCAAATAAGTTGATTAAATAGATAGGATTCTTATTTCGTATCATATGTGCTTTATTTAATTGGATGGAACAAAGGGAATAGATAAAATAGAATATAGGATTTGAACCTGCAAAAAAATATAGGCAGTGTTGAGATATTTTAAATATTCAGATTTAGTAGATTTATATCTTATTTATAGATTAGATTACTTAGATTTGAGTCTATCGAGTCTATTTTGTATGACCTATATATAGGCTCCTTATTTTGACGATAACAAGACAATTTTATTATTTTCCTCCAAAATTTCGAACCCGCAGAATAAAAGATCTTAACCACATACATAATTTCATAAGCTACAGAATCGTTGAAATCAGATTAGATCATCCTTCAGACACTGAAAACTGATCTTTATTACAACACAACCAACATACTTACACACACACATATATATATATATATATCTATATAATATAAGTAGAAGAGAAGTTAAAGAGAAGTAGTTCAAGAGCTCTGCATATTTGAGACAGTTCCCTTCTCGATTGCCCTGACATCATATCGAACAAATGTTAAAACATTTATATTATCAAATGCTCTGCGCCATCTAAGGATTTTTATTAGACGAACCAGTATTGGTTGTGGAAGACGAATGAATCGGCTGGCACGCGCTTTCCATCGTCATTCCGATACCAATGGTATATGGCATGAGTCCTATTCTTTATCTCTAATGTAGAATGTCCATAGCTGGCTTCGCGGAACGCAGAATAATCCGGCTGAGGCTCTCTATACCTGTCGAAACCATAATAATTAATTAAACAGCATATTCGACTAGAGTGATAACTTCTGTGGATATTATTATATCTCACTTTGCAGCAAGACCCTCCTGGTTTCCTCCATCCCCAACCGTGATGTAAATCGGAGCTGATTTGTTCGGCGCAGGCTCGAAGGAATTCATCAATCCAGAGACACGGTGCTGAAAAATACATACCGAAAATACTTTCACTTTTTCGAAGTTAATAAACATTTTTATTATTGTCGGCTAAACTTATGAATATATAACTCATTATTTATAGTAAATAACTTTATCCACGGATAATTTGATTATCCCTACTTTAATAAATAATAATCACTAATTTTTCTGTTTAGCCCACTGTATTAGTATTGATTTTTTAATAATTTTTCGGTAATACCCACATTTTACTTTTTATCTATATACTTTTTATATTAAAATACAATTATTTTTTGGTAAATATGAACTCATACTACTAATAAAATTTCATATTATTTTTCACATAAAGGTCTGACTTTTTAAGGATTGGTTTTGGGTTGCAATATTTATCGAAATTATTTCTCCCAAAATAATCAAATTAAATATTTTTTTATATAATATATTACACAAAAAAAAAATATACAATTAAATTTTCGTTCAAAATATCAAATAATATTGTTTCAATTGAAAATTTCATTATTTTACACTCTAAAACATTCAATTTTTATATATGTTTTCAACATTATCTATTATATGAGATTATTATCCCTTAATCTATATACAAACAAATGAATGTATCTATTGTTAGTTAATAGTAAAAAAAAAATACAAAAATTAGTTGTTTAATTTTTTACTAAACATAGAAATCAGAATATTTTTAGATGATAGATAAAAAAGAAAAATGATCAAAAATTTAAGTGACAGAGGGAGTATATAATAATTGATTGAGAGAAGTGTGAGATAGGTAAGAAGGCGAACCGATCTTTCGTAGGCGTGCACATGGCCGGCGAAGACAACATCGACTTTATTTTCAACAAACCAGCTCTCGAACACAATTCTCATGCCTTCGGCTTCCATATAATGAGCCTCGTTGCTGCTGTAAAGCGGGGCGTGCATCAGAACAATAAGCCAAGGAGTCTTTTTCCGATCGACTTTTTTAAATTCTTCCATAAGCCATATCCATTGAGGAGTGTACCTCACTAAGTTCAACATTCGCAACAAAAAAACATCATAAGACAATACAATCAGGATCTTGTAGGATAAGATTAATTAGTAACATTAATGAAGTCGATAAAAGATTATGATTTGAAACACAAAAATTCATTGAGTAATGATAACATTTAAAATTTTAAACAGAATTCCAAATGGAACACTAAATTTTTTTAATAATAGCGTAATTATTAAATTATGAAATTGTTTTTAGGATTAAAATCACTACTGACACGTACCACCAATAAATTATGTGTGCATCCGCACCTTACTGCAGGTAACATTAGAAAAACAAATGTAGAAGAAAAAACGTACATGATAAAAAAACACAAAAGTGACAAAGCCGAAGAATTACCAAACGGCGAGTAGCTGGACAAGACGATGATATGCGCCGGTCCTCGCCTCACGGCATACCATAATGGACTACTGCTTTCGCTAGCAAGATGAGGCGTAGGGTATCGGTAGGCAAAATTTTTGAAAGTTACGACTTCTTTCTGAACATTCACAATCCAACAAAAAGAGAAAAAAAAAAAAAAGTCACGACATCAAAATTAAGTATGATCGAAATCATACACAATTTTAGAAAGCAATATTTGTTTATACGCTACCAGAAAAAGGGGAAATAGTCTGATCAATAATTTTCTAATCAATTATGATACTATTATATAATGATATAAATAATATATAAATCGATTTCTATCTTAATGGTTTCGAAAATTTCGAGACAATATTCTATATAATATTTTTTAGGGTAAACTGTTTTTTAGTCCGGAACTGGACCCCCTTATCATTTTAGTCCCGTAAGTGGAGCATGTCGCAAACTAGTCCCATAAGTGGAGAATATTCGCTGTTTTAGTCCTCCGGCGCCGGAGACGCCTGCGTGGCTCGCCGGAAGTGACGTGTCCGCCGGGTCAGCGACACCTGGCGGACACGTGGATTTTTTATTTCTTTTTTCATTTTTCTAAATTTTTTTAAAACTTATTTTTAATTTTATTTGTATTTTTTTTATTTTTTTATTTGGTCCAATTAAAAAAAAATGAAAAAAAATGAAAAAAATGAAAAAAAAAAGTCCATGTGTCCGCCAGGTGTCGCTGACCTGGCGGGACACGTGGCGGACATGTCACTTCCGGCGAGCCACACGGGCGTCTCCGGCGCCGGAGGACTAAAACAACGAAAATTTTTCACTTATGAGACTAGTTTGCGAACTTAAAGAATAGTCTATCCCAGTTTTTAAATTTAAAAAGTACAAAATGTTCTAGACGGATCCGTAGCTAATGAAAATAATTCAGAAAATTCAAATTTTAATTATATAGAATATTTTTAAATTTAAAAGACACGGAATATCTAAATTCATTCCATAACTATTGCTATAAGTTTGGAAAAATTAAAACTTTATTATATATAATATTTTTTAGCACAGAATATATATATATATATATAAAGTATTTCGAAACTTTGTTATATATAATATGTTTATTAACGTAAGACACAAAATGTCCAAGTCTGAGAAAATTGCAAAAAATATCTTACACTTACTTTTATTCTGTATTTATTTCATTGACAAAATATATACCACATGTTTAGAAAAACCGCTATTTATGTCATTTGCCCGCGCATGACAATCACGCGCGGCAAAATGATAGAAATAACGACTTTTAAACATATGGGATATATTTTGCGAGCGAGATAAATACATGACAAAAGTGATAATGAGGTATACGTGTGAGATATTTTTTGCAATTTTTCCGTCCAAGTCTATATATGTTCAATACCAGGTTTGGAAAGTATTCGATTTCGTGATTTCCAGCAGTCCAAATCCACGGCTGATACGCTGCGCTTTGCTCGGCCAAACGGCCCCAAGAATCCCAGCGAACGGCGATATCAAGTCCATCATCATACTGATCAGCATACGAAAGATCGCCTACAAACAACACTGTTTCTGCACCACTCTCTTTATAATGATTGAGGGTTTCGAGAGAATTAAAGGTTTGGCCAAGATCACCTACGGAAAAATAATTCGAACGGCATTCAATAATGTATGTCGTAAACTTCAGTAGATATATCGAAGACATGTTACGATCATAGGATGGATATTAATAAAGTTGGAAATAGGATATTAAATAAATTTCAATACATACACTTTTGCGCTATATGTTTTCTTTCGTAAAATCCTCTATATTTAGTTTATTACATACTTGACAATTATGATATAGAAAAATATGCACGAAATCTTCATTCGACTATAATTACCGGAGCTTAGTGTATTATATAGGAGTACACCCAAATATTTTATAGAATAACGTAAATTCCCTTGTAGATGCTAATATTTGATCGAAATAAATAATTATTGTAACTGTAACAAAAAAAAGACTCTCAGAAATTAACTTTATGACCAAAAATAAGAATAGCATATGTAAACAATTAAACTTTGAAAAGTTGAATTTTCTTTACAATAAGACTTGTTTTTACGAACAAATTATTCGTACTTACGAGGGTATTTAAGTATTTTTATAAAATCTTTGACTATACTTTTTTATAATACATACATAAACAACATGCGGGTTAAACGCTCCGTTAATTATAGACAAAAATAGAGATTTTGTGCAAATTTTTTTGTATCGTAACTAATAATTATACAATAAACTAAATATAGAGGATTTTGTGCAAAAAGCATAGAACATAGTGTTGTATTAAAATTTTCCCTAAATAATGAAAAAAAATAGTACTGACCAATAATCCCAAATTTGTAAGAAGCATCTGGATTAATTTCTGGAGGTGTTCGAAACGAAAATGTCCTCGAAGAATTTCCATCCCCAAGCAAGTAGTAATATTTTGAGTTGTACTGCACCATGTATGTATGTAATAAGTAATCAATTAACTAGTAATCGAAAATGACAATTAATTAATGTATAAAGGGTGGTACGAGGATGAATAATATTATTTTATCCGATTTAATTTTATATTTATTATTTGGATCCTAGTATTATCAAAATTATTCATTCTTTTACACATTTAGAATCATTTATAAAGAATTAAAGATAATATTTATGTTTAGTATATAAGTCATGATAATATCATAACTCGATTTTAAAATAGTGTTATCATTAGAAACAATAAAATGTACTATAAAATAAAGTTTAGTGGTATAATTTTTAATACGATTATGAAGGATATTTTAGGTGAAAAAAAAAATAATTCTATCATGAAATTAAATATATTTTACTTGTATTTACTATATAATCAAATAGATTAAATATTATATTAATTAATTTATTAATTATACATTGAAATAATCTTACCGACTGTAATTATATTCTTCAAACTAAACACATTCAAAATATATATATAGTTCATCAATGGATCCATCCATATATATATAAATATATTATTATTTTAACTGAAATACTAATTAATAATTAACTAACCTGGAGACCATCGAGTAAACAACGATGAATATATCCCGAAGTATAGTTGTAAAATTTGTACTTTCGCACGGTGTCTCCCTGTGCTGAGAATTCATACTTTTTCCGGGACAAGCCATATTTAACTGTATTGGATCCGGGCTCATCTGGTGTTATCCATGATATTATAACAGCCTTCCCATCGTAGTCTCCTTGAGTAATGTGCACCTGCAGTACCGATAACACGTCACAATGATCATCGATTCAGTAAAAAAAAAATCTCATTGTTTATAAAGATGAGATAACTCTTCTTATCACCAATTGATTTTTAGACGAAGCATCAACTCCCTTCTTAATATATATATATATAAAGCTAAGGAATACTTAACCAAAAAAAAAAAAAAAAGGATACTTAACAAATTGTCTTACTCTTTTTCGAAGGTTTTCCGATTAAAAAAAAAGGGGGGGGATACTTAACAAATTCATCGTGGGCTAGCTTATTTAACTACTAACTTACTTGTTGTGGAGCATTGTAGCCTCTAGGAGCGGCAAAAATTGGACTATCGAAAGGAATGTCGACAGAAGGCCACTCGTGGCGAATATACGAGCTAGTCACCCCAGCATTCGCCTTTCTTACAATACTTAAAATTATAATACACGGCAACAGCAAAAGCAAAAGCAATCGAGGACCCTCCGACATCGAGCCAACTACCTAGCCACCTGTAGCAACAAATCTATATATATATATATTTATTTATTTATTTATTGACTATATAATAATTAATAATATGCATCGCTTTAATTTTAATTTTTAGATAAGATAGGTCGTTAGAAATGAATACTTAGAATTAGAAGAGAATAAATGAAGTAAGGACCATAAGTACATACATACCTTAAAAAGAGCAATCCAATCAAAGGTATCTAATTCCTTCCCTACCGCCAACAACATATGTGTCTACTATATATAAACACAGATATGCGCAAGATAGCGGAGCCAATTACTATAATGATTGACGGAGCAAGTTAGAGAAATGTTTTCCAATTTATTTCCAATTTTGTTTCTTTCATTCACACCACACGATTCCTGCAATAATAATAATAAATTTTAAAAATAAATAAATAAAATAATAATAATAAATTTAAACTCAAATCATAACCAAACAAATACGATATTTCAACAATTACAGTGTTTTTTTTTTATCTATAATATTTTTTTTAAAAGAAATATCATATTCCCACCGTGCCTTTTTAAAGAGGTTTTTTAGAATTTTATAGTAAATTAATAAATAATACTCTCTTCGTGTCAAAAAAAAAAAAAAGGTGCAATATTTATTTTTAGCATTGATTTTTAAAAGGGATAAAGTGTGAGGTTAAAGTAGAGATTAAGTATAATTAATTATTTTTTATTTTGAAAATATTACAGGTATTTGAGACATAAAAAAAAAAAAATATTGCAAGGTGTTTGGAACATACCAAAAAAAAATGTTGCAAGGGTGTTTGGAACATATCAAAAAAAAATGTTGCATGGTATTTGGGACGGAGGGAGTAGTATTTTATTGAGGTTTTGATATTTTTATCTTTTAATTTTATGTATAAAGTAATTGTATGTGTAATAATATATTTATAATTTAAATAAAAATTGAATATTTTGATATTAGTATATGATTCCTTTTACTAAAAATATATAGATATACTTTTGAGTGAAATATTAAATATTTAAATAGTAAAAAGAGTAATTGAAGACGAATGAAATATTAAATATTTATTTTTACTAGCAATCTTATATAAAGTCTAGAATTCATTTATGATATTTTTAAAAGTTTTAGAATTTTAGAAATTTTGAAAAAAAATAAAAATATTTATATTAAAGTTTTATATTAGTGATTTATCATAAAATTTGTTGTTTTTTTTTTTTTTTTCCTATTTGGTCCTTTTTTGCTACATTACTCTAGTAATTATTTTAATATATCTATTTTTACTAAAAATTATAATTTTACTTATCTAAAAAGTAATTGAAATTATAATTCTTTTATAAAAAATATTTTATTTTTAAATATATTAGTTTATTTAATTTTAGGAAGAAAAAATATATAAATACTATTAATCTATATTTTCATCACAAAAATTTTATATTAAAAATCAATACAATACTTATATAATTATTTCAAATATTAAATTTAGTAGAATGATAAATTAATCAATATTTTTACATAAGTTTGTTTGTTTTGGCTATTTTGATTTTTTATTGAAACTTGAATGGTAAAACTTTTGAATTAGAGTAATATTATGATGTGATATAATTGAGGGTTAATATGATATTTTCAATTTAAAATTAATTTTTAGTATTCTCTCCATTCGACTATAAGGTTTACTAAATATTTTTTGTGTTAATGTAATTAATATTAAAAATATTTACATTTATATTATAAAATATTAATAAAAGTAATTTTGTTTTTTTTCTCCTCATTTGTATTTATATTTTGATATAATAATTAATATTTAAAAATTAATTAAAAAAATGTAAATCTCAGAGGTTGACAAAAAGAGTATAATATATATCTATAATATATATATAAATGTTTAATTTGATATTTTTAGGAAAAAATTTTTGTGACTAGTAGAATTTTGGAGAAATTTGATAAAAGAACACATCAATTTGTATGTATAAAGATTATAAAATAAAATTTATTTGTTTGATTTGTGTTTGAAACTCAGATCCAACATTATATAGCTAGCATGATTTCAAATAAAAATATGTTATTTCTTTCATAAATATTGTACTACTATCTCCGTCTCATGAGAAGAGTGCTGGATTTTTTGTGTATAAATATTTGAATATTAATTATTATATTAATACATATTACAAATTAAGATAAAAGAACAAAAATATAGTCTTTTATATTCCAAATAAAATGACATTTGTGGAGTAAATTATATAAATATAAAAATATTTTTAACATTAACACAAATGACAAATGTTGTCATTCTTATTGGACGAAGATAGCATCAAAATACTATTTAAACCAAAACTCAAATCAAATAATCAATTTCAAACCAAAATCAAACAAAATCTTCTTAAACAATTAATACAACTTTCTAATTAAATCAGGTAACAACTCACTAAATCAGGTAACAACTCATTATCAAAAATATTCATAATAGTATATCAACTATTTATTTTTTATTTAATTATATTACAATTTTCAAAAAATTTCAAATTTCTCGAACTCCTAAAAACCATATACTCTCTCCATCCCTAAGAAGGGTTCCAATTTTCATTTTTATTCGTCTCAAAATAAGTGTATAATTTTCTAATTTAGTAATTGTATTACTTACCTAACATAATAAATATTTTTTCAACTTACAATTTATTATACAAATGTCATTAACTTTATATTAAACAATATTAATAGAAGTATTTTTGTCTTTTTTTTTTATTACAATCCAATATAATACTAATATTAAAACATCTACATAATATAAAAAAAAAAATAAAATTTGTAACTATGTATATATAAGACTGATGAAGTATATTATCTAGCCAACTAACGATATGTATGGCGTAGAATTAGACCACGTGACGTTCACGTGGGGACCATAGACTTTAATTGGGCCCGAACAATATCATTTCAATTAATTTTCCCCATCAGTGGTTTAGAAACGTGCTAAAATTGAGAGTTTTATTTATATACCAATAAAAATTATTTATGATACTATCTATTTATAACATAAAATTTAAAAATATATATTTAATAATTTAAAAATATATATTATATTAAATATTAGTTTTATTATTAGTTTTCAAAAATTATAAAATTTGAAAGTCATATATTAAACAAATATTTGATAGTATTTTCATTTGGTTATTATGTACAGTTTTTTTTTTTTTTTTTTTAGTACTACTGTATTATTATTTTTTATTATTTTTGATAAAACGACACCAGATTTAGAATTGTATTAATAGAAAGAGATTATTCTAGAAAAACAAAAATTGTTTTTCAAGCATTTATCAAATTTGTTTGATAATGTAAGAGTTTATAAAAATAGAATAATAGAATATATTTGTTTGGTGTTTGAATTTTGAACAGTAAAATTTTGAAATTTGAATAATATAAATAAGTATTGAAGTAACATTTAAATGAAAATTTGATTTTAGTTTAATATAAAAAAAAATAAAAAATGAATACTTCTTCCGTCCTGGTGCAAGATTGCCGTTTATTTTTTGCACGTATATTTCTTAATATTAGTGTTATAATAGGTTGTAGTAAAAATACGAAAATACCCTTATTAGTATTGTATAATATAAAACTAATGTCATTTATGTTATATAGTGTAAGTTGGAATGATATTTATTATGTTAGGTAGGTAGTACAATTACTAAATTAGAAAATGATAATCTTGTTTCGAGACGAACGAAAATAGAAAATGACAACCTTTCAATTGGACGGAATGAGTATTTCATCAAATATTTTTTGACAAAAAAATGTAGATAGTAAAATCCATCCAAAATCCTAACCAAACACACAATTTCATTGAAAATAAAATCCTAATTTATTGAGATTAGAAAAATAAAAATCACATTAGTATATAAAATACCGTCACAATAAGATATGTCACACTAAGCGATCATAAGTTTACCTTACAGTATCATATCATTTTTTACTAGACAAAAGTCCAATATATTTTGTTTGATAGTAAAATAGCAGTAGTCGAAACAAATACTGAAAAGAACAAACTACAATAAATTTTCAAATCAAATAAAAAATGGACCACTTTATTTTCGTATAATTACAAAATGCATAGGAGTTGATTTGCTAAGTTGTGTTGTGTCCACTATTTATTTATAATAATATACTTTCACCGTCTCAATTCCAAATACTCTTTTTATCATTTGTGTTTCTCCCACTTTAAAGTATTTATTTCTTATTTTTTTAAAAAAAATAATCATACGTTAATATGAAAATACCTTTAATTTTTACTTAAATTACAATATACTATTCCCTCGGTCCTATTGAAAGGTTACCATTTTCTATTTTCGTCCGTCTCAAAACAAGGTTACTATTTCCTAATTTAGTAATTGTACTACCTACCTAACATAATAAATACCCTTTCAACTTACATTATATTATACAAATATCATTACTTTTATATTATACCATGCTAATAGGGGTATTTTTGTCTTTTTTGCTAAAATCCAATATAATACTAATATTCAAAAATCTACGTGTAAAAAACAAATATCACAATTCCAATGGGACGGAGAAAGTATTACACGTACAATTATTTTATACATATAAAATCAAAATACAAAAATATCAAAAACTCTTACAAATTTTCTTTTAATCTATTACAAAATTCCAAATGACCTCATTAAATTAATACGGGGAATATTTGTTTCCGGAAAAACACTCATATTATATATATATGATTTAATAAAATATTCATACAATTTTATTTTTATTTTAAATTTTTATTTAGAACATAATATTTCCTCCGTTCCAATTTTATGCATTCTTTTTATCATTTTTTTCCTCGCTCAAATTTATTTATTTATTTATTACTATAATAAAAGTAAATCGTATATAAATACTAAAATAGTTTTAATTTTTACACAAATATTTTTTTCTTTTGCACTTGAGATAGTAAAAATATCAAAATTTTCTTACATACTTTCAATAATTAATAGAATATTATTTTTTTAATTTACTACAAAAAGCAAATAAGTACATTGAATTGTGATAAAATATTATTTTAATTATTTTTTAAAAGATGAAATTTTAAAATAAAAGTTTAAAAAATATTTATTTATTTTCTATATTGAATATAACAAATCTTGAATTAGTCTGAAAACAATTATTAAATCAATTATAAATTAATACGTGCAATTAAATTACTTTAATAATTCAAATACAATTAATACAACAAAAAATAAATGGTAATAATAAAGTTTTAATCGAAACAAATACTTTACATAAAATTCCCCCAAAATATTTATTTCCCTCTACTTTTACTAATTTTCAATCTTTCATCCATATTTT